CGCGGGCGACTACGGCGTGAAGCTGTGCGGCCGCGAGTTCATCCGCGCCGTCATCTTCACATGCGGCGGCTCCCGCTGGAAGAGGCTGTCGCTGCAGGGCGCCGCGCCGCTGCCCGGACCCGGTGAGTGCGCGGGGCGCCCGTCCGGCGAACCGCTGCCCAGGCACGGCTGCCGCCCCAGTGCGCGCCCGCCGCTTCTCTTGCAGCAGGGCGAGCGGAGCCTCTGGGCTGTGGGGGATGTCTGGAGGCTATGGGGAAGGCACCTCCAGGCTATGTGGGGCACCTCCAGGCTGTGGGGGATGTCTGGAGGCTGTGGAGAAGGCCCCTGAAGGCTGTATGGGGCACCTCGAGGCTGTGGGGAAGGCACCTGAAGCCTGTGGGAAAGACATCCCGAGGCTGCTTCCCTGGACGCCTCGAGTGTCAAGACAGAGCCCCAGGCCATGCAGGGGGCACCTCCAGAGTCAAAGGCTGAGCCCTGGGCAGCACCTTCTGCCTGCTGGCACAGCTGTTTTTCCCGCGCTGTGCGAGCAGGCCCATGCACTTGTAGCAGCAGGGAGTGCACAGCCACCCTGGCCCCTCGCCTCCTTTCTGAAGCCTGGGGGCTCCGACATGGATCTGTGGGGTGCACTCCTTCTCCGTCATTTATCTCATTCTTGCTCTGAGATATAATCCTGCAGGAACTGAAGCAGTCTATGTGAGGTTTTAGGGGACACCTGTTGAGGCTTGGTGAGAATCTGCACCTCTAGGGGTTTGGGGTTTTTTTATAGTCCAAGCTCTCCTGGCCTAACCATTCCCTTTGCCTCTCCTTCATGGAGCTGGGCATTGGCATTCATGCTACAGCTTTTTTCTTACTTAAAAAGAAGTTAGGTGCTAGTTTGGGGTCGGCCTTCACTCTGGACCGGCAACATGAGGACAGTGCCCTTCGATGGGAATCGGAATGAAATTAAGATCAGTCTAGAGACCCTGGTCTGCCCCTGTAAGTGCCAGCAGGACGGTCATAAGAGACTTCAGTTATAAGAGACTTCAGCCCTTATAACTGTCGTTAGACTTCAGTTATATGAGATTTCTATCCCTATAACTGTCAGTATGACTGTTAATCCTCCATTAATCCTTTTGCTCATCAGTATGACAGTTATAAGAGACTTCAGTGTACATATGCAAGCGACCTCTTCTAGACAGCCTCTGAATTTCATGATTACTGAGTGAGAGCCTGTCTTAATTTTTAGAAGTTAGTTGAAGCACTAAGGGGTTTTCAGAAAGCTCTGAGGTTTTAATAAGTGGTCTAACTGAGAGACAACTCTTGACAGCTTGGAAGGCTCTAATGGTTGAAGACAAACTAGTGGCCTCCAAAGTAAGTGCCAGCACAGATAAATAATATATAATAGTATAAGCAAGGTATTAAATGACTCTTGAAACTCTGTGCTCCTAAGAGGCACAGACTTCTCAGCCCAGCAGAAGTACGGCTTTTCACCCTCTGATCTTTTTTTAGTTGCTTGTGGGGCTGGAGAGGTAATAAGGTACACACTGGGTTAAATAAAAATTAAGGGATTCTGCTTGTAGGCTTAAATCGTTTGCTTTTAGAGAACAAAGAACCTGGCATGAAAGTCTCAAAATGATTCTGTTCATCTGAAGGTGAAGAAGCATCTTAACTTTTGTTTTGGAAAAATATCATCCTGTTTCTAGTTCAAGTGGCTGAGCTGATTTTGCTGAAACTCTAATTAAGAAAATTGTGAGGGCTCAAGGGCAGAAACAAAATCAGCCCAGGTATTTCTGTCATAGACAGAACTGGTCCAATGAAAGGTATCACCAAAACAAAATCCTTGCCTTGTTCATTTGTACATGGCATTTTCAAAGCCGATTGGTGCTTGTGATATCCCACAAGCATATACTTACATTAAGTGAGGAGAGTTTTACATATTGGCAAGGAATGCGTGAAATGATTTCTTATTTTGATAAATCCCTTTGGTCATCCAAAGAACCTCCCATCTTATCGTATTTGTAGACTTAATGGGTAAGGTGCTAGCCCTCCTCATTTTCAGAACAGAAGGGGAGAGAGAAAGACAAGAGCCAAAAAAGAGTTGAAAATGCATACTTTTATAACATGCTGGAAGAAATTGGTGGTTTTCCAGAAATAAGAGGGAGGTTCATAAAACTGAATAGTTTGCAAAACAGGTTGAAAATTCCAAGATTAATTTTTCTCCATAACACTGTACAAGAGCCATTCTGACACTGCTGCACCTTAGAGTCACCATTGTATCAGTGTATTCTGGATCTCAGAAAGACCTTTTCCCCCATTGCAGAATAGTTTAGTTGAGCCATCTTGAATAATTTTAAGTAAGACAGTGCTGTCAGGGAATGGATTCGGAGCAACTGCTGAAGGTGCAGTGCCACAGTCTTTGCTAACATTAGGGTGTAAGCAACGCTGAGGCCACTTAAACAGTCCAACTAGAGGTTTTAGAAAACACCACCTGCTGCCACAGGTTCTTGTAAACTTAAGGAATGATGTTTTTTGGGGAGGGATACCAAAACATTGTATTGGCATCACAACTATTTTCTTGCAACGAACCTCTTACCCATTAGATGATCCAGGAACTGAGCCTTTTTTGTTGGTTTAAAAGCACAGCTCTGGGCTGTCAAGTTCTATAAGCTGGTCAAGCTCCAGAGATCGCTTGCATCTCAGCATTGCAAAGATGGATGAAAAACACATATTTTTTTACTTTTTACTTAAGATGGAGTGTAAGCTGGGGCTCAGGGAGGAGAAGCTGTTTCCAGTAGCTGTGAAACTATAGCTGTTTTAGTCATACTACACTGGGTGTGTCTACACGTGCTTTTACTACATATGAATAAACTCCAGAGTTGTTTACTTCTGGGTGCAATTAACTTCTGAGCAATAAGCTCCAGAGTTTCTTCATGCACAGCATGTGGAGCTGGGTCAGAGCAGCCCCAGTTGGCAGGCTGATCCCCAGGGGTTAGCCTGCTACCCTGGGGCTGCTCCCCCCAACTCAGTGTGCTGTGGAGGGGATGGCTGGGGCATGAGGAAGATTCAGTGTGGGGTTAGTTGGCAGCCAGCGCCCACACTGAAGCACCCTCACATCCCAGCCAGCACCTCCAGCATCTACACGCATGCTTTTGCGTTTTTTACTCCACAGTGGGATAGTACTTGTACTTATAAGTACTATCCTGCTGTGGAATACATTGTCAGTTTACTCCAGCCTAATAAGGGTGCACATATAGATACCAAGATGCTTTCTGCACACTTAATTAGTCAACTGCACAGTAAACGTCTCATATAGATGTGCCCGCTGTGTGCACAATTAAACAATGCCACCCATTCTGCTCCAAAAAACTTGCCAGCAAGAATAGTAGAATTTGGGTTCTTCAACTTGCGTTGCTATCATAATTCTTTGCCTGTTGTTAATTGATTATTTGTGTTATTTCTAAGGCCATCTGCTCCTTGTAATGCTGTATACTGATATGAAATAACTTTTTGTAAAACAGATTCTACTCAAACCACAAATAACAAAGAACCAGAAAACTTAAAGTTGCAGTCAGTCTTTGTTCCAGATCTGGAGCAGCTGCAGAGAGGCAGCCTACCACTTGAACAACAAGCAGGGAAGGATTTGTTTAATTTGTACGATTATAATGAATATGTACCCACGTCAGATGACTTCAAAGAATATGTCCGTCAGGTTGAAGATGCTGCCCAGAAGAACAAAGGTGGAACAGGAATTGCCAGTCCCATGGGATCAAACAGTTTTCCTTGGGCTAAGTATCCCAGAAAGAAACGGGACTTATCTATGGGGGTGGCAGGAATGTGCTGCAAATGGGGCTGCACTAAAATGGAAATTAGTACACTATGCTGAAACTAAAATGGTACTTCTGCATTTATTTTAGACATATGGACTCAATGTTAGTTGCAGTGATACTTGATTGAGTGCTGCGCATAGAGAGAAAAATAATCATGTGTTTGTATTTCATTTTGTCTGTGACTGGTTGTAGATTTTACTTAAAACCCCCCTCAAACCTAACTGTTAGTGACTTTGTTTTGCAGCAGTAACCTTTTAATCTAAATTTCTACTCAACTGTTACTAATTTGAATGTTTGTTCTTTATGTTAAAATTTCCCACCTCATATTTGTAACACTCTAGGGAGAAAAATCCATGGTAATTAAACATATATTACATTCTATGAATGTTACAGAGTTGTTTTTCCCGTCATTGGAAACCATATCAAAAGCATCCTTTAACAAAATGAAACTTGGCTCAATTTGACCTAAAAAGATCTTTTATAACTTGGAGATCAAGTGAATACCAAATTGGCTGTTGCACCACTTAATAGAGAACTATAGAACTTAATAGTTGCTTTTGTAACACAATTAATATAAATTTTGCGCACCTGATGAAGTGAGCTTCAGCATATGAAAGCTTAGCTTGTGCTACATATTTATATATAACTATATATATCTACACACCTGTATATATACATGCACTTTGGTTAGATTATAAGGTGCACATTTATCCTGCCTTTTATTTTTCTCCACTTGCAAGAGTTCTTTATCACATTTTTCTCTCGGAAATCTATGTATTATAAAATATTAAAACTTTCTATTGATCACTTCCTATTACTTGGATATGTCTGTGCTGCCCTGCATAATTATCTCAAGTACTATAAGCTTACCTTGTTCCCCCACCCTTTTTCAGTTATCGTTTCACTAAGCTTGGATGGCTGGTACTCTTAATCTTTAATCCTTTTAAACTTTACTTGTGAACATCTGACATTTTGCTCACTTTTCCAGAGTACTGAATTACTTTACTCTGTGCACTCCTTGAGACATATTGTTGAATTACCAACTACTATTTACCTTCTGCTTTTAATGTTTGTGGCTTCTGGATTTTATTTTTTTTTTGCTTTCCATTGGTTGTTCTTAACTTTGTGACCTTTTATTTCCTATGAATGTTTGTAATCACTTCAGGTCCCTCTGAACTGTGTCCTTATGAGTGTTTACAATGAACACCTCATTAAGTACAACTTGCACTCTGAGGTTTACAATGATATACTTCCAGTTATGTGAAGAGGATCATAAGCAGTTATCACTAAAGGCCAAAATTTTAACACCTATTGCTATACCATTGTACTTGAATGGATTGAAGATTTTATCTTTTGTTTTACCATCTTTCAGGCAGTCCTCCATCTTGCTTTTATTTGAACTAATGCTTCATGAAATGAAGATTGCGTCTCCTACATATTTTGATAAATATCCCAACAATTTTTTTCTGAGACCATGGAAGGTCCATAGTATTGCAGCATGGGATGGGAAAAGCAGCTGGAAGGGACCTCCTTGGTTATTAAGCCAAGTTGTGTTTCCTATTGTCACACTTGTTTTCATAACTCTTCCAAGGGATACTAAGTATAGCATTTAGACTAAAACATTTTTCTTATTTGCATATGCTATTTCTGTTTGGGGAAAGGTAACTGCATGACCCTCAGTATAGCTTCCACTACAATCTGCGATGTCAAAGTGCATGTTTGTTTCCCTCATAAACCCTGCCTCAGGCCATTCAGCCATTTAAAAAGCTTTCTTTAACTGTCCATCATAGACTAGGTCTCTATGCTAAGGTGGAGAGGGAGCTTTAAATGAAATGCCTCATTTAATCTCAGTTGGGAGCAAGGGGTTGAGGAAGTGACATCCCTACAAAAAGTCACCCTGATAAAGTTGAAATTGGGTGTGGGAATAGCCCTTGTTAAGACTGACCTTTAAATTCTTTTGACCAATATGGCCTGTTTGATTGCACAGATGTGCTAGAAAATTGCTGCGTGTGCACTAAGCCATCTTGTCAGACACTGCTAAATTAGTAAAGTGAAAATCTGAGGAAGTTGTATCTGACTGCTTGTTTGAAAAAAAAAATATCCAGAATTACCACACATGGATGTGCACTAACCTCAGAGGTATGCAGGTGAGATACGTTTTCTCTGAGCAGCTTCTGCATCTCAGTGTGTGAAGGTGAATTTCAAGTGGTGAATCCAGGTTTTAGACCAAGCTATTAGATTTTTCACATTTAGCCTAACTTTCCTTCATACTCCAAAGAAGAAACTAGTTTGCTTAGAGGTTATTGATTTCTAGTCAGCCAGACAACTGATTAATATAGACACCTCACCAAATTCACTCCTGCTCTTTTTTTTGAGGGAGAAATCTAGAAGGCTGTTCAGATAACTCAAGTGGACTTTATCTAGTATAGCACTAAAATGCATAGCACATGACATAGGCTAAGGTGCGTATGAAAGTTCAAGAGAAATTCTCAACAAAATTTCTTCCTACTTTTCCTTTGGATTTAATCTGTTCCAAGGCTGTGTTTCAGTAGCTAACCTTGATAGAGCCAATATGTTATTAGTTACAAAAACGGCTGGAAATGTATTTAAAACCATTCTGTCTTCATGAGAACCAGTCTAAACTAGTTCCTTGGTGGCCTATGGAAGGTGTTGCTTGTCTTAAGAGGGAACCGTAAGTTTTGGACAGACAAACCAAGTACAGTGGGTTAAAAAGGCAAGAACTTAATGCCTGTCTGGTGCCTGATCTTACCAAGTGTTAGCTTAGCCCTCAGCAAAACACTTTCACATGTTATACCGCTACCTCTCAACTCAGTTTTTGTCCATACTCTTATTTTTGCTATTGTTTAGCCATTGTCTGCAGCTTTCCAGGCTGGCTAAAACATACTGCCCTAGCACAGTTATATCTGCATTAGTCATAGTTTGAGACTTAATTACGGTTTGTATTTTTGTGCTAGGAGAGGCTTCTGGAAAGTTTGGCCAAGGTTTTAACATAGAGTACACTGTTACAGCACAGCAATGTATAAACAACATAAATCACTGAAGTATGTTTAAAACTACAGCATGCACTTCATCTTTAATCTAATATATCAACTCTTCACTTTTGGCCTTGTCAGGAGGTAAGACTGCTGGAAATCTGCTTTTCATCCCTTATCATAGCTCTTCTTGTGGAAGCTAGAGGTAAAAGTAAACTAGCCATGACAAGTACCAATAAATATACTTCATTGAAGTAAAACACTGTACAAAATGGAAATGTTTGCATGGCGTACCCAATTATTTCAAGAATATGACTAAGGTCATTTTATTAAACAAGCTCAATCCTTGAGTGAACCTTAAGGTATCAGTTCTGTTTCCCTTCATCTTAAGAATATTCTATTAAGCAAATTCTTTGCTGGTCAATTGCATAGTTAATGTAGAAATATTGCACTATATTTTCCAACTGTAGGAGAACACAAGTCCTTCAACTCAAAGTAAAGGTTGTAAGTAAAAGGAAAGCTTTGAGGTACCCGTTCTTTACACTTTTAAAAACAGCTGTCTGCAAGTCAGCCGTGAGAGGGCACATACACAAAACTTAGATAACCAATGTCTACAAGTAGCTTCATTTTCTTATCTGGAATTCAAAAGTAAATTATTTCTTACACTAAGGGTCAACAGAATACACAATACACCTTCCTTGGGTCGTTTGACCCCACCATTCTTTCCTGCCCATGGCAGGGGGTCAGACTTGATGACCTGCTCAGGTCCCTTCCGACCCTACCAACTATGAAACAAGCAAATAAGAACTCTGCAGGTTGAAAAGTCCTTTTTATTGATACATTTTTAGTTAAATACTGCTGCCTCTCATCAGTCAGTTTGCTTACAATTCACTTTTGTAGACAGCTCTCATGGCCTGCCACCAAAACAGAATATAAAACTGGAGGTCAGCAGATATAAGTTGGTAAGCAGGTCAAATAGTTTGCCATGTTCAGTTCTTAACAACTGTCAGACCATTTCAGGTTCAAGTCCCTACAGCTTTTAGTAATTTATTATCCAACACACAAACGCATCTGAGGTCTCTGAATCCTGCTCTCAGATCAACTCTTTCCTGTGCACATGCACATTCCAGCCTGCCTAAAAACCAGGCCCTTGTTAATTGCTACCAGTAGCTCCCGTCTTCCCCTACTGCTATCAGAGTGGCTGGTAAGGAATGACTGTTCAACTATATCCAAAAATTAGAAGAAACTTCTTTTTAAAAATAATTTTAATATTTTTGAAATATGTTGGTACAATTATATTCATAGGTCTATACAGTAATTAGTATCTGAAAACTATGGAAGCGTTTCTTAGATACTGTGATTTGTCCACACTCTTACAAGCTGCTAGTTTTCTTCCTTTCAGGTTAGGTTGTACCTGTCTGAAAACTCTTTCCTCCTGTTTATTACATGACTGTTGCAACTTTGTGGAATACATTTAAGAATGATTTTGAAGCTCAACATATTCACAACTAGTGGACCACAGACCAGTATTACATTAGGAAATAAAAAAAAAATTGTTTGTAAAGACTTTGTACAATATACAATTACTTTATAGTAAAATTATTTTCTTTAATAAAAAATCTGAAGCAGTAGCTGTAATAAACTTCACTTTATAGCAGCAGTCATGTATGTGTAGGACACAGCATTTTTCACAACAAATCACAGCATTTTGGTAGCATATAAATAACAAGAAAATGTGACAAAAAGTGAATACCAACTTTAAAATAATTACGACTTATCTGTTAATTCAAAGACTAATGTAAAAAAATACCACAGTATATACAGAGCTACTGTAACTATCATAAGAACTTATTTCTGAAGTGCATTAATTTCAAAAGTTTACTACATTTGGCATTAAGTCTAGCAAAGTCACTACATGTGTATCGTCTTGAAAAACAACCAAATAGTTATTTGAAAAACATGTGATTTGTGTCCGTACAAAGAACTAAACGTATATGCCACAGAACTGAAAATCTTACAAGATCTGTACAACTCTTGGAGTTGCTAAGCACTGCTTGCTCCTATTTATTGAGCTGGGGATGCTCAACATGACATATTCATGCCTTACAGAGATTTATTATAATGGGTTATTTTGTCCCTGTCCAATAGAGAGTACAAAGTTTGACTGCTTTGTAAAGTTAAAGCATTGTCTAAAAAATGATGGAACATTTAAAAAAAAAAGAAAAAAGCCAAACAAAAAATAAAAACATCTTTTAAAAAGCATCTAATAAAATAATACAGAACTTCAAAAATCTTCATCCTTTTATATTCTAACACTACAGTTATTAAATCAAAGTGTATGAAATTAATCAGACTATAGTAGAACAAACAGGATGTCTTATCTCTTGAAAAA